TGAGACATTTTTGTGGCCTCTCTCATTTACACAACTTTCCAGAGTCTATCCTCTCCCCTACACCCACTTATGTAGTCAGTGACCTCATTTTTCTCAACCCAAAGGCACATTGCCTGGTGGCTGCCTATTCCTGGCTTATCTATCCCAGGAGCCCCTACGCTTATCCCAGCAACAAATGGCTTTCTGGGAATCTGGGCAAGGTGAGTAGCCAAATCACATGAATCTATGCATAGGGTTAATATCTAGAACCTGGCTGGAGCCCGGAGTCAGGCTGTGTCACCTGAGGCTATTCAAGATCATGAAGGCACATCCCTCTGTCCAGCTGGACATGTATTTGGCATGGTCTAGTGTCTGAGCAAGAGTGATCATGGAGTCTTCAGGAGATCCTCAGACCCTAGCATGGCAGGTAGGGTAGGACTGAATAGAGAGCGTTATGGATAATCATGACAGCCATATCAACAACATTCTCTAGTTTGGAAAGGAGAGGTGAGTTAAGATGAGGCAGATACTTTGAGCAGTCTTTAAAAAGGAATAAGTCAGGCACCGATGGGCCAGATTTGGGAATAAGCTAAGGTCGAGACTTAAGGGACTAGAGTTCAGGATTAATAACTGGTTGTGCACCTGGTGAGGAGCAGGAGGGCTGGAGGCCCAGTAAGCATGATGCTGTTAATAAATAGGTAGATTAGGGGTGCCTGGGTGGCTTAGTCGGTTAAGCGTCCGACTTCAGCTCAGGTCATGATCTCACAGTTCATGAGTTCGAGCCCTGCATCGGGCTCTGTGCTGACAGCTCGGAGCCTGGAGCCTGTTTCACATTCCGTGTCTCCCTCTCTCTCTGCCCCTTCCCTGCTCATGCTCTGTCTCTCTCTGTCTCAAAAATAAATAAACATTAAAAAAAATAAAAAATAAATAGGTAAATTAATTATCACCACCTATTGCAAATATATTTTCTCATATTATAGTGCAATCCCTGATCTACTTTCCTTCCTTCCCTCCCACCTTCCTTCCTTCCTTCCTCCTTTCTTCCTTTTCTTTTTTTTCTTTTTAATGCAAGTTCCTGACTTAACTTTTGATTGCTCAGGCATTAAAAAATGGTCAAAGGACCAAAGAAGACCTACAGAAGATCAATAGGTACATGAAAAGCTGCTCAATATCACTAGTCATTAAGGAAAAGCAAACTAAAACCTCACGCCTGTTAGAATGACCATAATCAAAAAGATAAGAGATAGTAAATGCTGGCATGACTGTGGAGAAAAGGAGCCCTTGGGCACCGTTGGTGGGATTGTAATTTGGTACGGCCACTGTGGAAAACAGTATGGAAGATCCTCAAAAAATTAAACACAGAACTACCATATGATCCAGCTATTCCACTTCTGGGAATATATCTAAAGGAAACAAAAACACTAATATGAAAAGGTATCTGTTGGGTGCCTGGGTGGCTCAGTGGGTTAAGCATCCGACTTCGGCTCAGGTCATGATCTCACAGTTTGTGGGTTCGAGCCCCATGTTAGACTCTGTGCTGGCAGCTCCAAGCCTGGAGCCTGCTTGGGATTCTGTGTCTCTCTCTGCCCCTCCCTGGCTTGTGCTCTATCTCAAAAAAAATAAATAAATAAATGTTAAAAAAAATTAAATATATATATATATATATATATATATATGTATAGCATCTGCACTTTCATGTTCATAGAAGCATTATTTACATTAGCCAAGACATAAAAACAACACAAGTGTCTATCAATGGATAAGTGGATAAAGAAGTTGTGCTATGTGTATATATATATGTGTATATATATATAATGTATGTATATATATATAATATTATGCAGTCATAAAAAATGAGGAAATCCTACCATTTGTGATAATAACATGAATGGATCTTGAAGGCATTATGCCAAGTGAAATAAGTCACACAGAGAAAGAAAAGTACTGTATGATCTCACCTACATATGGAATACGAAAAAAAGCAAACTCATAGAAAAAGAGATCAGACATGTGATTAAAAGAGGTGGGGGTGGGGAGGGAGAATTGGAGGAAGGTGGTCAAAAGGTACAAACTTCCAGTTATAAGATGAGTCAGTACTAGGGATATAAGGTACAACATGACTGTAGCTAACACTGATGAATGATCTATAGGAAAGATGTGAAGAGAGTAAATCCTAAGAGTTCGCATCACCAGGAGAAAAAAAAAATTATTTTTTCTTTTCTTCTTTTCTTTTTATCATAGTTATACGAGGTGCTGAATGTTAGGCTGAAGCTATTGTGGTAATTGCTTCACAATATATGTAAATCAAACCATTATGCTATACTCCTTAAACTTATACAGTAATATGTGCTAATTATTTCTCAATAAATAAGGGGGGAAAAAGAGGCACTTACTTAAAAATGGCTATCTGGAATAAACACATTGCCAGCCACATGACTAGATAAAGAGCCAGGCTGCACTGCACCCTATCCCCTCACCACTCTAGGCTCCATGGTTTTAGAAATCTTGGTTGATTTTGTTTGGTAACTAACCATTTGAGCTGCTTGTTTCCTGTCTTCCTGTATTCTCAATTCCCACTCTTATGTTTTTTTTAAATATTTTATTTGTAAGTAATCTCTATACCTAACATGGGTCTCAAACTCACAACCCTGAGATCAAGGGTCACATGCTCCACCCACCAACCCAGCCAGCAGGCACCCTCTCCACTCTTGTATTTTAAACTCACCAATAAAGAGTGAGCCTGCAAAACCCTAAGCACCCATCCTCTACCTCAATAGAAGCAGAAGCCTAAGCCTGAGCCATGACCTCATTGTGTGGCCCCAGGTACACCATATAATTTCCACCACTTATAAGTAATAAACCTCATATCTTTCAAAGTCTCCTGATGGATTGCTGAGGGTGTCTTACAATCATAAGAAAAACCCACAAGGGCTGGTCCAGCTACAGCACTGATTATCAGTAGGCTGAGACTGGCACACAACACATACATTTTCTCATCTGTATCACTTTCTGGGCTATTATTGCTATCTGACTTCCTAATACCCATATAGAGGGTGGTATACATGAGGAAGTAGCTTCAGAGAAGTTAAGGGATTTTCCTCTGTAACTAATTAGGAGTAAAGTTGGGACCAGAATCCGGGTCTCTGATCCAGCATTCTTCCAGTTCTGTCAGAGATTCCTTCAATATAGAGGGTTGGGAGCCAAAGGCATTTGGCTTGTCAGAAGAGGTTGGGTAGGACCAATGAGAAGATGAGCCTGGGGCAGGGATGTGGAGATGGGCAGAAACTCTCCCTGCCACAGGTCTTATTGGCTAGAGAACTCTGTGATTCAGCAATTCCACCCTAAATATATACCCAAGAAGAATGAGTACATTATGTCCAGATATATACCCAAAAGGAATGAGGGCATTACAAAGTGCATGAACAAAGACAAGTGCAAGAATGTTCATTGAAGATTTATTCAGAATTATCAAAAACTAGAAACAACCCAATGTGCATCAATAGGAGAATGGATAAACATTTGGGACATCTCTACAGTGAAATACAACTCAGCAATAAAAATGAATAAACTACTGATACATACAACAACATGGACGAATCACAATGACATTGTGCTGAAAGAAGCCAGTTTCCAAAGGGTACCTTCAGTATGACCAAAACTAATCTGGAGTAACAGAAATCACACCAGTGATTGCTTCTACTGGTTGGGGGAGACTGACTGGAAGGGGTACAAAGGAAGTTTCTGAGGTGGTTGAAATGTTCTCTATCTTGACTTGGTTAGTGTTAACACATGTACATATAATTTGAAGATTTATACACCTTGCCATATGAAAATTATACTTAAATTTTATTTTATTTTAAGTTTTTAAAATGTTTTTATTTATTTTTGAGACAGAGAGAGACAGAGCATGAGCAGGGGAGGGGCAGGGAGAGAGGGAGACACAGAATCCAAAACAGGCTCCAGGCTCTGAGCTGTCAGCACAGAGCCCCATGCAGGGCTCGAACTCACGGACTGTGAGATCATAACCTGAGCTGAAGTCAGATGCTTAACCGACTGAGCCACCCAGGCACCCCTGAAAATTATACTTAAATTTTAAAAAATAATTAAAGCTCAGCTTTTTAGGAAACAGTTGCAGAAAGAAAAGGAAGTGTCTTATAGAGCCTAGTATGGAGGTGACATACCAGGTTGCCTCCTATGTAAGGTGACCAGCTTTGTCTGATTTACCTGGGATTGAGGGCTTTCCTGTGACAAGAGGCTATCACTGGGAGAGTCCTGGGCAAACCATGACAGCTGGTCACCCCACTCTTGTGGAAGTGGGGAACTGGGTGGGAGCTTTGGATGTCTGGCAGACAGGTTGGATTCCCTTGGTCTCAGAGCCCAGGTGCTGCTTCACAGGCTCAGAGAAGGGCCATTGAAAAGTCATAGCAGCAGGCATTGCTGGTTGACAGCAGGAACATCAGGACTAGGGAGGCATCTTTGTTCCCTGGTTATTATTCAGTGTTCCTGACCCTTTAGGAGCAAGAAGCGGTCGGGGGTGGAACTGGAGGAGCAAGACCCCAGAGACTGAATAGAGACAGTTTGATCATCCAGATTCTAAGCATCGTGGCTTCTATGAACTGGGCTCTGAGGAGATTTTCACTTAGCCCTCTCTTCACCTTAGTTATCCCCACTCCATCATCCCTCAAATGCCTAAGCCAAGAAAATACCAAAGCAGTACATTGATTTTGTGCAAGGAAAATAGGGACATGGGACCTATCAGAGGCAAATGCTATTGTATCTCTTCACCTCTACAGATGTCACAGGGCAGAGGCTGTCCCTACTCTCCTTAGTTTGCCATAACCTGCTGTTGCTTGAGCTGGAGGGGTCTTCTCTACCTTGTCAGAGAATAGGACAGATGGGGATATGGGGGAGGAACTCTTCCAGCTTTCTAGCTGAGGCCCGAAGTGGATTCTAACAGAGAAACTGCTGGCAGGGCTGGTCCACAGAGGGGGAAACAGGAACCAGGAAGTTCTAAGAGGTTCTCAGAAGTTCTCATAGTGATGCATGAAGTGGGTCTGGTCCTGCCTGTTGATGAGCTGACAGGCCTTCTCTACATTCTTGGTCATTCCTGGAGGGCCACAGCTGAACACTCCAATCTTCCGTACCTGTCAAGTGTGTTGCAGGGAGTGATTGCATAGAGGAGAGGCCTGCAGGCTTAAGGTTATCACCCCTTGGGAGGAAGCTGCTTCTCAAGCCTGCTGGAACGACTAAAGCATCGACCTCTAGCTCTGAGGAGGAGGCTTGAGCTAGGGGCAGTCGGGGGTAGGGAGGGTTTGAGGCCTTCCTCCAACACCTGACCCCATCCTGGAGCTAGCATGGGATGGTTCTCCACTCAGATTATAGCTGTAGGGTGCTTAAAGTCCAGGATATCCTGGCAGGGGAAGGCGAGGGTTTCAGGACAGGTGGGGGTGGGGCTGACCTGTGGGTGGACCTCCTGCAGGGATTTGAAGAAGAGCTCGAAGGGGGGGCGGCCAAAGTGCGTGATGGAACGCAGGCCTGTGAACAGACTCCGGTTCAGCACCTTCTGGAAGTGTCGCTCACAGATGTACTGGAAGAGGGAGTAGAGGAGGAATGTCACAGTCAGACAGAGCCAGGGTCAGCTCTTAGTCTAGATGGTGGCCCACATACCTACCCTGCCTGACCGGCCCTGACATACCAGCATGGTGGTCCTGAGGTCAAACTTCTCAGCCAGCTGGGTGATGTAGATGTGCACGGACACCAGGTCCTGGCAGTCATTCTCCTCCACCTCCCGGATGATGTCAGCCAGCCACTCAAACTGCCGCTGGGTCCGTGTCACCCAGATGAAGTAGATCTGGGGACACATTGTTGGAGCTCAAGACTCAGCTCAGCTCAAGTTTCATCCACCCCAGATGCCTTCACCTGAGAGGCTGGAAAGCCTCAGACCACCCACAGACTCCAAATCTCTGGTAGCCCCACAAGCCTGATCTAAGTCTTTTAACCAGCAGACCCCAGCAGAGGTCCTTCTGTCTATACGTCCTACCCTCCCTCAAATGTTGGGCATGTGGGCATGTGTATGAATAGCCCCTGCAGACTCAGTGCCTAGGGGCCAGGGGCTTTTACTCATATTACTCTGCTGTGATGTGGGGACACAATCAGGCAGTCTGTCCCATTCCTTCTAAGAATGGGAGAGAGACACTCACCTTTTTACAGAGCATTTGGCTGCCCAACGATGACTTGAAGACCAGGTCTTTGAGGATTGAGGCAAAGGGGGTGACCCCAATGCCCCCTCCCACCAGCACGGACACCTCAAATTTATGCCACTCCTGGTGGCCCTCTCCAAATGGCCCATCGAGGTACAGCTGCCAACCAAAGAGGGAGAAGAGATGAGCTTGGTCTGGCCCCAGATCTGAGGTTAGAAATGGGTATAGGACAGGGAGAAGAGGGCTACAGGAACCACAGAGCCTCTTCTCAGGCACCCCAGCCTGGCCTTGTGCTGGCTGGAGCTTCTAGTCTCAGGGTAGGGGAGAGTGGGGACCCTTTGCCAATGCTGGAGACCAAAAAGTGGTTCCTGGTGGCAGGCACCTTTGGGTATCTGGAACAGCCGTCGCCCATTGGAGGTGAGTAGATCTCCCTGAGGCGAGTGGTCCAGGGCCCTGCTGCCCGGATGTGAAGGCTGAGCGTGTCCTCATGGGGCGCAGAAGTCAGTGTAAATGGGTGGTACTCGTTGGTCCCCAGAGTCAGACAGGCAATCCGCACCCACTGTCCTGACTTGTACTCAAAGCCTTGGGGCCGTTGGAATTGCAGGTGAGTCACTCCTGGGAGTCATGGGCAGGCAAGGGCAGGGATCAGAAGGCTTGCTTCCAGTACCCGAGGACTGGCAGATACCCCAGATACTTTGTCTACTCTACACATATGGTCTGAACAAGTGGAGCTCCTGGAGGTAGGAGTCAGAGGGTCCCCTTCTCTCTTTCCTGGGTAACCCAAGAATTAGATTTCTCTGCTCCTTGTTCCAGCTACTCTCCTCTCCACTCCTTATTCCCGTGAAACATCCAGGCCCCTATGCTACTATCCTGAATATCAGCCTACAGGTCAGAGGACCTATTTCCCCAGGGACCATCTCACAGTTTACCAAACCTCCACCATTTGAGAATTACCTTTGGATAGGCCATTTCTGCGCATCTCTGCACTACTGTTTATCTAATGTTTTTCTTCATATTGACTTAATTTTTCAATATGATTTACCTTGACAAACTTCAGGTCACTCAGACAGGTGGAAAACCAGTATCATGTATTGTAAATAGAAGGCACCGTATTTTATCAAATTTTAGCTGGATACTGTGTGGTGTGCCAGACCACAGCTGAGCCTCAGGCCTGTTCTTTCTTCGTTTAAAAAAAAAAAAA